CTCTCCTCCTCCTCCTTTTTCTCCCCTTCTCTTTCCCTCCCCTTCCCCCATCTCCAGCTCCTTCTTCTGCATTTACTTCTGGCTTTTGTTCCTGTTTTGCCTCCTTGACTCAATGCCTCCCCAGTTTTCTCAGCCTGTTGGAAATGGACCCAGCCTTTAGGGTCCTCTCCTTCCCTGCTCTATCCTGAAGGATTCCTTGAGTACTCAAGCCCACCCTGACTTCCATCTGACTCACCGTCATGCCTGGTTAAGCCCCTCTGCCTTGTTGAGCACAGGAGCTGTTGTGACACCAATCATGGGGGTGCATTGATTGAGGCACTGCTGTTGTGCACAGATTTTGAAAGCTGTGTCTACCTGTTGCCAACACAACCTGGAGAAGAGCAGGAATCTGGTCATCAGTCTTGGAACATTTCTGATGTCTACGTGACTGAAGAGGTGGATTTGTTTTCATCTGTTGACTAAACGGCAGTGGTGGTCATAACCCAGATCTGATATTGGGCTTCAAAGGAGCAGTTCTTGAAACAGATGCTTCTGGGCTCCAGAAACATGATGCTCTATAGAACCCTTTCTGCAGGTGGCCAGAGTGGAAACAAGAGAGTGAGGAATCAAAGTGTGGGTCAAGGTTCAAAGTGACAGTGCTATTTCTACTTTATAGAGTCAAGTGTCTCCATTTTGGATCAGGAATTATAGACTGACCTTCACCTTTCATTTTTAATGTTTCTTCTTGAGTCTTACATGCTAAGCCTGCAAACATGCTCTAGGTATTGATTTTGGCAGTGGGTGGGAAGAACATAGAAAGAAAAACCACGATGAATGAAATATTTCTATAAATCTTTCTATTCTTAGGAACCTGCTTTATTGTATTTCTGTGGACTTTATGTAATGGAAGGGGGAGTGAAAACAGTCATCCCAGCATAATGGGAAGAAAATGGGAAGTAGGACAGTACTAGGCTGTATGCTGGGAAAAATGGATTCTGGTTGTAACTCAGCCTTGAATTGTTCTGACCTTGTTCATAAGCCCACTTCTGAGCCTCAGTTTCCTCATCTGTGTAACAAGGAGATGGGCAAGACAATAATCAAGTTTCATTCTTGGAGATACTACTTTATCTATGCTTCTAGAATTCTCTGTATTATTTACAGAATCCATACCTATCTTCTCATATGATCCTCACAGTAAACCTTTAATGCAGGTTATTATTACCCATATTAGACAGATGGGTGCATTGAGGCTGAGAGATGGTAGGTTTCATACAAATGAAGCTTGTCTTCCTGACTCACAGTGATTCCTTCTTAGCAGGAGGCGTAGGCCTGTGAGGGAATGTTGGTATATTGGTGAATGTCGGCATCTGCCTGTTATGTTTCTCTGATGTGTGAATATGCAGGTATGAAGGGTATGGTTAGTAGGTGGATTTCCCTAGTTATAGTGATGGTCTGTTCCTTGATGATTGCTTTCGTCTGATGGATGTTCCATGTTATGGTACAATGTCCACTGAACACATTAACTAGGCACTCATAAATAACAACGGGAGGGCAAGAGGTAGTGGGCAAGGAGAGATGGACAAGTAAAGGGGAAAGAACTAGGGCTGAAGAGCTAGGCACCATTCTATGTTCTCTACAAGCATTAACTTACTTGGTCCTCACATCAGTCCTATGAGGAAGGTTGCTATATTCATGCTCATTTTACAGCTATTGAAACTAAGGCCTGGAGAAGTTAAATAACTCATCCAAGCTAGTAATTGGCAGAGCCAGAATGTGAAGCCAGGCAATCTGATTTTGGAGTGTGTACCCAAACTACTCTGCTGTCAAGGTCAGATTGGGCAGTCATAGCCTTTGTGAGCTACTCTGGTATAAAGTAAGCTAAAGAATGCCCACCCAGGGAGATGGGGATTGACATATATACGCTAATATGTATAAAATAGATAACTAATAAGGACCTGCTGTATAAAAAATAAATAAAATAAAATTCAAAAAAAAAAAAAAAAAAGAATGTCCACCCAGGGACTTCCCTGGCGGTCCAGTGGTAGAGAATCCGCCTTCCAATGCAGGGGACACAGGTTCAATCCCTGGTCAGGGAACTAAGATCCCACACGCCGCAGGGCAACTAAGCCCACGCACATCAACTAGAGAGAGAAAACCTGCACTCCACAACTAGAGAGACAGAGAAGGCTGCGCTCTGCAAGGAAAGATCCTGCGTGTTACAATGAAGATCCTGCATGTCACAACTAAGACCCGACGCAGCCAAAAATAAATAAAATTTAAAAAATAATTAATTAGATAAATGTTGATAAAAAAAGAATGCCCACCCAAAGCTAGCCTGGTTGCAGAGGAATTGGCACACTATATATTGCTGGTGGCATTGACAATGAGTTTTATAAAGCTTTTAAAATGTGTGGCAGGCGACATAAAGTTTCCCATACTTGTCTATTTAAGAATGCCAGCCAATCCTAGAGGTTTATTCGAAGTTATAGTTCAACAAAAGCAACAAGCTAGAGGCATGAGAAAGTTCATTGTATGATTTGCAGTAATGGAAAACTGGGAGCAAATTAAGTGCCCAAGAACAGAGTATGAGTAAGTAATTTCACAGTACATTCACTTGCTGGAATACTATGAAAACATTTTTTTTTTTTTTTTTGGGGTTCGGGGACCTCCCCTTTTTCGGCCTCTCCCGTTTCGGAGCACAGGCTCCGGACGCGCAGGCTCAGCGGCCATGGCTCACGGGCCCAGCCGCTCCACGGCATGTGGGATCTTCCTGGACTGGGGCACGAACCCGTGTCCCCTGCATCGGCAGGCGGACTCTCAACCACTGTGCTACCAGGGAAGCCCTACGAAAACATTTAAAATGAAAATTAGGAAGATAATTATGTAGAAGGATGGGAAAACGTTTCTGATAAAACGTTAAGTTTAAAAAGCAGGGTAAAAAATATGCAGGTTATGATGACAAAACCCATATATAAACGTACTGGCAAAGCCTGAAACAGAACAGGAAAAAACTCTAGTAGTTAGGTGTTTCTTAAGTTCTTTTCATTAAAAAATTTTTTCATTAGTGGTGGCATTATGTTTATTCGATAGATAATGAAGAAAGGAAAGAGCTGGGCAGGAGTGGGTTGACAGGATTGTCAAAAGAGGGGCCTGGAACTGTTGGTGTGTTCCTCCAGTTGCCTTCATTCTTGAGTTCTCTGAGGGCAGCAGAGGTGTTCGGGGTGGAGAAGAGGTCTGAGGGATATGCGTGCACTGGGATCCTGCCCTGTTGTGCTCACTGGGAATGTGGTAGGTGTCTTGGCAAAGCCAATCTGCTGTGTTCCCTTTGCTGTCTTCTTCCCCTGACCTCACTCCTCCCGTTCTTCATTCAAGTTGCACTTAAAAGTCACTTTTCTGGAATCAACTCCTACTGCCCTCGCTACCTCCCGCCTACTCAGCTAGGTGCTTCTCCTAGCTGTCCCCTTTCCCAGCACCCTATGCTGATACCCATGTCTTCCATTTCTGAGGCCCCTCTGGGCTGCAAGCGTTGGGGCCTCAAACACAACGCAAGGTGTATTCACTGAATGGGCCTTCTTTTCCTTATCTCAAAAATGGAGGCAGGTTTGGTTGATTAGGTTTTTTCCAGCTCCACATACTGCAATTTTACCATCTAGTTTTCTCAGACTCATTAAATAAAGGAGCCACTGAAGACAAGTCTCGGTGTAGGAAATGTCCTCTGTCTTTCTGCATGCGGATGCCAAGCAGACTCTGGTCTTGCTGAGGACTGTGAGCCTGGTCTGCGGGTTGCGCTGGGATTTCCACAGCAGGTGGGCTAAGTGCGTAGGAACTGGGTCTTAGCAGTCCAACTGACAACTAGGCTGTGGGGTGAAGGCTCTTTGCTTCTGTCTTGCTTGTGCTTGGCAGGCCAGTCACAGGCCACGCCAGACACTGTGGCTGTGCCTCCACGTGTGAATCTGAGGAGCCTCCTAGCCCTGATGTCATATATGTGCCTCTGGGCTGTGGAAGTGGGCGTGTCTGTGCACATGGCTGGTTGTGCCTGTGTCCGAGTGGGGAGTATGGTGGTCGAATGGTTTTCTGGGTGAGCGTGCCTCTATAGAACGTGTGCACACACCTCAGTGTACGAGCGGTTTTCAATTTGGCAAATAAATGTTGTGAGCTTTGTGCTCTGCAGAAGCAACAAAGCGGTGCGAAGGCAAGGAGCCTGGGAGCGTACATATCTGCATTGTGTGTCCTCTCTGTGTGTCTCTGGGAATGCGTTCTTGGCACGTGTTTGGTTAACAAGGCTTTCGGTGTGTGCAGGTCTGTGTGGCAGTGGCTGGGTCCCGTGTGCCGCGCTTGCTCTCTTTCCAGCTCCACTTGTGCCCGCAGTCGGGCTCTGCACGTGGGCCAGCCTCCATGCGCACGTCCCCGAGTGACCCGGGAGCGCTGTGCAAGGACCTCCGGGTCGTGTGCACTTGGAGCGCTCGAGCCTGTCTCTCCTGACGCACGAAGGCACCTTCACATGTCTGGGTGCACGTCGCTCTCGGTGTGTGCACGGTCCGTGTGCACACCGCCCGTGTCTGTGTGCTGGGCGCTCCACGCGCGCGCGTTCCGGCCTGCGGGCGACCAGGGACCCGCGCGGGGCTCCACGCGCCCCGCAGGGCTGACCCCCTTCCCGCGCCCGGCCACGGGCCACCGCGATTGGCCGCCCGCTCCCTCTCAGCCGTCACCCCTCCCGCCCCCGCCCCCGCCACCCCCCCCGCCACCCGCGCTCCCGCGGTCCCCGCTGTCCCCCGCGGTTCCGGCGAGGCCGCGCCGCGCTGCGCTCCGCTCCCATTGGCTGCGCGCGCCTTTGTGTGGCGGCAGCTGCGGCCCCAGCGCCTTTGAATGTCGAGAGGGGCCGGGAAGGGAGCCTTTCCATGGGCCATCTGTCTCCCCGCCAGCCGCCGCCCCACCGCCGCCCGCGCCCCGCGCTCCGCCTCCCGCCCCGGCGGCTCCCGCAGCCCCGCCGCCGCCCGCGCCCGCGCCCCGGAGCCGCGCCACAAAGGGCCCGCGCGCAGCCGCCGCCGCCGCCGCCGCCGCGCGAGGAGCCAGGATGGTCCTGGTCCACGTCGGCTATTTCGTGCTTCCAGTGTTTGGCTCTGTGCGAAACAGAGGTATCGCTTTTTCCTTTCGGGGTCCGCTTCGGAGCGTGGATCGCCGCGGGCACCGGGGTGGGGGCGGGCGCCGAGGGCGGCGGAGGGCTCAGGGCACACCCGCGAGGACGCGGGGCGAGCGGTGGCTTCTCCCCTCTCCCTTTTGGGGGGACCCCCAGTGTGGAGGTGGCTGCCCTCGTGGGAGCTTTCGCAGTGAAGTTAGGATTTGGCGATTTGAGTCCATCCCTCCCTCCCTCCCCAGCCCCACTATTTATTCTTTGCGGCGGACGCGGTTCCCCCAAATCATAGCCCCTTCCCCCAATACCTAGCCCTGTGTGATCGAAGGACGGAGAGAGATACAGGACTGCGTGTGTGCGCGCGCGCGTGTGTTTGTGTGTGTAAGCGTACTTGGCTTCCTGTGATTTTTTTTTTTTGAGGTGTGTGTGTGTTTCGTGTCATTTTTGTTTGTGTTTCTCCATCATTTGGTCGTTGATACCGATGGCTGGTTAGCTGGGACCTGGCATCTGCATCTCCCATCTGCCCTATGCCATGCCCCAGCCCCCGCATTCTCGTGGGCACTTGCACGATTTCCCGTCCCATCTCTTCCTCCCCTTTAACCCTTTTTGTGTATCGCCCTTGTGCTACCCCTCCCACCCCATGGTCTTTGTATGACAGTTGCATTTATGGGTTCAAGATGCTTGTGTGTGTGTGTGTGTGTGTGTGTGCGAGTGTGTGCAAGTGTGTGCGCGCCTCGGAGAGTCAGATGTGCACTGCTGTGCACCCCTGGGCCGGGCCGAAGCGGGGTGCCGGCCCTTGGCTGTTGCGCTGTGTGTGAGGATGAGGTGGGACGCTGCCCCCAAGCCAGGCCTTTGCCCTGGGCAGGCGTTGACAAAGCAGCAGGCCGGCGCCGGCTTTGTTTTTAACTGTGATATATGGGGTGTGTTTGCACGGTCCCCTGCCCCACATCCCCTTTCCCTTACATTCTGCTACAACAATAGCTTGATTTTCCCCTCTTCTCCTCTTCACATTTCTTCCATTTTCTTTTAATCAGAAACTCCCACCTCCCAAAGCAAATCCGAGATGCATTTAGATTCATTATTATTATTTTTTCTTTTTGTACTCTGCCTCTGGACTCACATTTCTCTTCTTGGAAATGTTTCTGCTATCCTCTCCCACTCCACGTCTGCTAAAATCCCTGCTGGCTGAGGCTCTCCCCCACTCCCCCTCCCTCAAGCTCAGAATGATGTCTTCCCTTTGCGGCCCGGCTGCTCCACCAAGTCAGAGTGGGGGGTGGCGTCGCAAGCCGGCGCTTTAGTGCGCCCCAGGGGCCCGACTGGGCAGGAGAATGAAAGCCCAGCCCTCCTTCTTTCAGCCCAGCTGTCCCCAGACCCAGCCTGTCCCCAGAACCTAAAAGGCAAGGTTGGCCCCCTTAGGCCTGTTTGAACCACAGTTTTTTCGTGTGATGATAGAATGATGACATTCTGCATTTATCAAATCTTTTTTTTTCTTCATTGTGTAGCTCAGTGAATGGTCAACTCGCTGCTGTGTGCGCTGTGACCCTTCTGCCTCCGCATTTAGCTGTATTGTGACACCCCTCTTAACCATCTCCTGTCTCCATCTGAGGAAGGCATTGCTATTTAAGCGGCAGTATCCCCTATCTCAGGCCAGCCTAGCAGTGGGGGGCGGTGGTGGAGTGAGTGTGTGAAGAATAGGAATGGGGGGGCTGGGTGAGATCTCCCTTGAAATGCCAACCCCTCCCCCAATACACAATTATATCTTATTACTTGGCATTTCCTCTTAAAACGGGTGTGGAACATTACACTAGGCAGAAATTCAAAAATGATTAAGAAGGATGTTGAGCCTGAAAGTATAATTATCCTGATTAAGTCATTATCATCCTCATTAATACCACCAATCTCTAAATACCATTGCAGGATGCTGATTCCATGTTTTGAAATTCAAATTGCTCAGCTGCCTTTAAATTTTATTTTTAATACATGCCCCCCCCCCCAAAAAAAAACACCCAAGAAAACAAATTCTGCCAGTCAGTCAAAGTTTACTTTCATGGCAAACACGCCCATAGGAAATTCAAGGGCTGAGGGTTAATTGGGCTGTGAGTAAAATTTAGCACAATGTGATAAGAATTCATGACCTTCCGATAGAGGATACTAATGCTTAACTCAACAAGGTCCTAAACCACAATCTTCTTGTAAAACTATTAGATAGCTTGCCAGCTTAAATCTGTTCCTTTTAGTTTCCATTGTAGTAGTATAGGATGTAGGCCATTTCAGAATAGATGTAGAGAAATAACCATTTTTGTATCTCATCTTGTTTAGCCGAGTACATTGCACTGTAAATCCCTGTTAAGTGGATTCCTTTTGCCTTGGCTTGGAGGCTGTAGCACCCCATATCCCACTTATCTGGGTGGCCATCAGCTGGCTTCCTGGTAGCACCCAGGCATAAGTGAAGAGATTACATTTAGTCAGAGGCAAAAAATAATAAATATAGATATGAAAATTTTTGATGAAATGACAGTTGCTGCTACTCTGAAAATTTGGTGTAGCAAGGTCCTTGACTTAATGGGGAGCCATAGCCATGGTGTCTTAATTGTTTAATTGTACAATGTCAAGAGCATCTTTGGACATCCGCCCTGGCCCTCAGAGCTGCCCCTTTAACAGCCGGCTCCCTTCTGCTGCCTCGCTGGCCAGACCTGCTTGAAAACTGAAACAAAACAGCAGCAATAAAGAATAAGGCCCCTACTTCAAGGGCCCTTCCAAAATAAAGTCCCAAGTGGCCTCCCCAGATTGCCATTTGGCAATCTGAAAAGAAAGAGAAGAGAAAAAAGAAAAGAAAAGAAAAAGGATCCCCAGCAAAATGGTTTTCCATTAAACAGGGATAGCGTGTTCTGCTGTGCTGAATTACTTCCTGTTCTTATTTTGTGGGTAATTTTTTCTGTATCAAATATCCTTTCGGTTGTGTATCTTTTTCACCTTTTCTTGTACTAAAACTAAAGCATGATCTGTATTTTTTTCCATCCCCCAGTTGACAATGTACAGCGCTCGGGTAGAGATGTTACCCTGCTGAAACGCACTGTGCTCGTGTAGCCGGGCCATCTGCTCGTTGTACGCTGCTTTTGTTCTGTTGCCCTTCCGAAGCATGGTGGGCCCAGCCTTTTTTTTTTGTATCGTGTGCATGACGACATTGTTACACACAGAATCCACTAATACTAATATACAATCTCTCAATAAAGAACTAGTTTCCTATATTAACCTAGTGTGCTTTTTCTCTTGCTGTTTTCCCATTTATTGTTGTATCCTGCTGTAGATTTTCCCCCTTGCTTTTCTATCCCCACCCTCCCCCCCCCCCCCCCCCCCCCCCCCCCCCTTTTTTATATTTTAGTGATTTCCTTTTGGTTTTTTTTTTTTTTTTTTTAACTTTTGTTTTGTTTTGTTTTGTGGTACAGATATGGTGACTTTAATCTCATCTAGTCCATATCTTTCTAAGGTAGATATCTGGGGCAATGAGGGGGGTGGGTCAGTTGTCCTGTCACACCAAAATAGCTCTACTGCATAGAAGGAACTCCTATCTTTGGCTACCTGTGTACCCACCCAATAGCCTCCACATTTCATCTCAGTTTCCAAGTTACATGGGCACTCAGTTTATGATGCTGGTGAAAAGATGGGGCTGTAACACTTAGGTTGAGAAAAGGGATACTGTTCTTAACTAGCAATCTTGTAGCATTTCAGACTCGCCTGAAAAACCCATTTTCAGTTGTGTTTTAACTTTTCTTTTTACTGTTTTATTGATTTACTGTCCTTATAAGTCATGTTGGGGGTGACATGTTACATGCAGTTGAAGCCATGATCTGGAATTTTAAAGTACCCTCTTCTATGTGCATATTTAAATTGTTGGGACCTGTGATGTAAGTTTTGCGTTGAGATCCTGCATGAGGAAGATGTTTGAAACAGAAAGCAACTCAGACCACTCCCACATTCATCCCAGGGCCAGCAGCCTGACCTGTCACTGTAGGAATAAGAGGGTCTGTGCCCTCTGCAGGCTGTGAGCCATTTAAAGCTGATTACAGCCTAGTTTCCTGACAGCTGCCTCATCTGTGGCCGTAGCGCCCCTCTTGAGAAAGAAAGCCAGATCTGCCATTGTCAGAGTGTGTTGGGGGGATCAGGAAGGAAATCATGACCTTACCCCAAATTGAATTGGAAGAAGAGCCCTTAAGATATGTCTTTTTCCCATAATTATATTTGAGGAGCCAGTGGAGAGGTATTTTTTCCCCAGAGTGGAACCCAAATTCAAGCATTTGTCAATTACACCTCTTCAATTTCAGCCCAGAACAAGCCTTGACAAATGAGGCGTTTTAGTCACCGCGGAAATTAGTTGATTAAAGAAATTCATGGTTCCTTCAAAGGGTCATCGTTCCGGAGCCGCTCTTCCTTGGGCCAACGTGCGTCCTCCTCGCTCCTGTGGGCTGTCTCCTGGCCCGCCTCTGCCCCCTGCCAGCGTCCCTTTCCCGGGCAGGCGCACCCCTGCCTGACCACAGCGCTTCCTAGCCTTCTTTGTGGCTTGGTGCGGCTCTCCTCTCCCCCCATGGCTGCCCTTTCTGCTCTGGCCCTTTGTTCTCATGCTCTCTCCAGCCCAGAAGGGAAAGCTGAGCTGATTTACTGTGACACATGGACACACATGAAAGTTCCCAGCAGAGGCTCATGCTGTAGTTTTTATAAGAAGGGATATGCAGGTCTTCAAGGATTTTGTTTCTCCCTCTCCTTCTTCTCCTCTCCTTCTCATTTTATTTTGGTTTTCATGAAATGTTTAATTTTGTTCCTAGTTTGAGAAAGCAAAATAAACCATCTTCCAGCCAACCTCAACAATAAGGAAAACTACCCCAACTCAGATGATTGCCGTCATTTCTGTCCTAGAGAGCAGTAGTTCATTAGATTGCTATTAAGCAACTCTAAGATTTTATTTCTTTAAGTGAATGTTATATATGTTGGAATTATTTGGTCAATACG